GATGTTGATCTGTTGGAAAAGGAGGAGCTGACCGATTTGGAGCTAAGACGCCTGGGCCAGCAAATGACACCTGATCGCTTGGCTCAGCTACAGGAACTGCCCAACTATTGGTTTCGTTTGGACCCCCTGACGGGCAGTATCTACGTGCACCGAGCCCTCGACTATGAGACAAAACCGGGATTTGTTTACTACATCTGGGCTGTTAATCCCAGTCCACCAACCAGGGATGGATTTGACCAGAGCCCAGATATGTCCAAACCCTCGAAGAACTCTCCATCGACAACGAAAGTTATCATACATGTGAGTTCAAACCTTTATTCTGCGTAATCTATCGTTGCTCACACAAAATGACGCAGTAGTCCATCTCGTTTTTGTTGCTTTTAGAATAAAGTGTGTAGGTCTAGTGTCCTTCTTCAGGCTTGTTAAGGTGTGGCCTGACTTCGTTGGATTTGATTTTTTTCGATCTCATTGGAAACAACAGCAGCCCTTTAAGTATCTTCAGATTTGAAGGGTCGATTGGGCAAACATTTGTTTTCAGCAACTCTTCATCAGGCCAGTAGATTGCAGTGATAATGAAAATTGTATAGTCGGGCGGTGTTAATAAGTGTACTTTCGGTACAACTGGTCGTTTTCACACCGTTCCAATGATGAGTTCGGCCTGCTGGGGGAGTGGGGGGGGGGATGGGAGGAAATTGGGTTAAGTTGTGGGCATTGATCAGGGGTCAGGTACATAAAGTGATGATTAGTGTCATTTGCACGGCTCGGACGACTGTTACTAGGGGGTGGAGGCGATGTGCGATCCGCATCCGGCGTCTGCGTCGGCCACGGAATTGAAAGTGCTTGTGTTAGCATCTTCGAACAACACAGCACGGGATTCGCTAGCCGTATGGCCACTGCTTCGGCTTTTACAAGCCTTCGTTGACGTAGGCCCTTGGAACAGTAAGCTGGTGTCCGATAGACAACCTGAAAGGCTTAATTAATATCGACTCGATGATTCGTATCGACAGTGTGTGCGAGAATAGAACTGGAGATCGATCTATTTTCACCTTAACTTAACCAGACTTCTATGTGCGTAAGCATCCTCTTTTCCAGGCACCTCGCTGTTTGACCGATGCGTCTTTAGATTACCTTCTTAGGTTGTGTTTCTGTGCACATGAGACTAATTTCTCTAGCCGACGTTCATCGAGCTCTGTAGGACAGGAAGCTTCGTTTTCCAATAGAGAACTCCGGTCGCCTAGAAAGGAAATAATTGAGCCTATAAAAGTATTAAAGAAGACAAGAGCGTCTGGAATGCTCATTTTTAGCTTATTTGGAGCCAACCAGCGTCCTATGATTGAACATGGCTGAGTGCAAACGGTAAATGCATCAGAAACGGCCACCTCCGTTTTTTTTTAAAAGGTACTTTTCTGCATTGCACTCACGGTGTCGGCTGCGAAGTGGGCCGCACCTCTCGGTCGTGTGAGTGAGATGCGTGATAGCAGG